CATAGCAGAAGTAATACTACTGACGATGCTCCAGGAAGGTATCCAGTTATCGCTGAATAAAACGCACAACGGAGATAGAGACATTTTTACTGATGAAACTCGAGGAAAATAAACATACGATTTCACAAAATATTTTTTTGTGAAATCTCACAAAAAAACTAATTTCACAAAATAGATTGTTCTTCAATCTTGGGTATTTTTTATAAGGAAAGTATATTTATAATGCAATGTTAATCGACATGGCCTTTATCACTGTATATAATACTATCATTCTGTAATATGAAACCACGTCTGGTCACAAAAAGAAGTATTTCAAACACTCGACTATGTTATTAAGTTAATTTGGAGAAAAAGCATGTATATAAATTATATATTTGTTGGACAGCAGGTTTGTAAACAGGCTCATACACATGCAAAACTGTATCGCACACGTGCTACTACATTTATTCAGGGAAATTTGATATTCGCTGTGACCAAGCTATCAGAGTACCTGCCATGAGGACAGCATCTGTATGACTCTGCCATCCTCTGTATCTCTCTTGTTAAATGAGATTTCTCGTTCTCCTATTACCTCATCAAAATTACATTGGGAATGACACCTCGGTCATTGCATTGGTTCCTGATGTGGAGCATTCTTATTTTGTTTCCTGTTAATTGATATACACTTGCTCATCCTTAGAACTCCAGGAAGTGTGACATGTACCCCAACTGGCCGAGACCAGTCTCTGACTGGTGTGGGAGTGTTAGTTGACAGTGTGCTGCTTAAAGGGATAGTTCACCCAAAAATTCTGTCACCATAACCCTGTGGTAGTGATGCAAAGAAATCATTTTTTTTACTGAAACCGCAAAACAGAGAAAAAAAAAATCGCATTTAGCCTCAAAAAGCAAAAATGAAGTTTATTTAATAATCATTTAATCAGATTTATGTAATAATCAACACTCAAATAAAAAATGAGTTGCATATAAAAACATTTAAATTACAAGACAGTTTTAAATAAACTTTTTAATGATATAATTAGCCCTACAAAGTGCAAGACCATAAAGAGGCATCAGAAAATTAATTTATTGTTATTTTTCTTATTAGGACACAAATAGTAAATTCAAGTATTACTGTTTTTTTTTTTTTTAAACGTGACTTTTATTTTTGATTTCAATGTTTGTATCCGCTGGGATACGAAAACTTTTGTATGGTTAAGGCAGCTACCGCCATAGATATGGTTACAGAGATCTGTCACGCCACATTAAAGACTGTCAAAATGACATTTGTTTGAATTTTGTTATAAAATTGACAGAACCTGAAAGCTCAGACTTTTTTCATATAAAAATGAGAGGGACGATGTTTTTCATGCTCTTCTGTTTGTGATTACAATGAATGGAAAGCTTTCAAAAAAGTCATAAAAAGTGATCCAAATGATTTTTATTCCACATTTCAAGTTTTCTAAAGCCATATGATGGTTTTGTGTGAGAAACAGACCAAAATTTAAGTTGTTAGTGAGCAGGACAAGAATCAGAATCAACGGGTTTTGAATTACATGGGTGAGTGAATGATGGCAGAATTACAGAATTGTAATTTTTGGCTGAACTATCCATTGAATATGACATCTGTGACGGTATGCACGTATTTATGTGTAATTTCGTCAGTCGATGATTCCCCTTAACTGTAAACGGCAGTGCAGTAAGGGGTGAAGGCTGTCTGTTATTTGGACAGTAACAGGGTTATATAAATGTCTAACAGGTGTTTGAGTTGGGGGAGGGAGTGCTCTGTCTCTGTGTGTTTGTGTATGGAGAGACGATTGGCCCAGAGCACTAACGACGAGGCTGCATCAGACGGTCGTGTATTTAAGCGAGGGTCCAGCGTTTTCCACTGCAGCACTTTTTTAGCAGAGTGCTTGAGTCTCACACACAGGCAAGACAGCACATACAGGACTCCGCAGAATGAGTGCCGGCAGCCTGTGCTTGCTTTTTGACCTGCTCATCCAGACTTTAGCACCACAAAGTGCCCAGTCCGGATAACCATACGCCCAACGTAAACAACCAAAACGGCTCATGAACGAGAACCAAAACGAACAACATGGCTTGTCAAGTCCTTCTCCACAGGTAATGTTTCATAGGAGAAAATCTCTACAGATTCAGTGGAAAATAGCCTAAGCTGTGGATGTTGCGCGAGAGGCTGTTGTTCTGGGTGAAACTCTTAAGGTGGATTGATTTGTTCCCGTCGGACTGTCTTGTTTATTGGTTTTCGGCCAAGGCTGCATGTGACGTTCACTGCCTCTCAGATTGCATGATGAAAAGCCCTGCTAACTCACGCAACACCGCTGATGAAATAGGATTATTTGGTGAAAACGAGAGATGGAGATTCGGGCAGAATTGTGAAACTGATGAATCACTGCATGATACAGCATTTAATTCACAACCAAAGAGTGTGTGTGTGTGTGTGTGTGTGTGTGTGTGTGTGTGTGTGTGTGTGTGTGTGTGTGTGTGTGTGTGTGTGTGTTGGCCACTGCTGCTGATTAGATAAAGTGCCGAGTCAGAGGAAGCCGTCTGTCTGTAATCCTCTTAAAGCCTCAGCTGATCTCATAGTGAAACAACATATTACTCTTAGCTCTGTCCACTCTTTATTTTGGCTGCTTGATTATTCACACTTTAGCCCTGTGGAAATATTTAGAAAGACAAAATGAGGCATGTTAGGGTGTCATACTGTTGGTTGACACCCTAAAATCTGTTTAAAGGTGCAGACAGTTGTTACATATTGGCTCAGTTTACAGCTAGAAGTGTGTTATGGGTTCTACTCTAGCAATATCAGAGTTTTTGCTGGTCTTAAATGAGAGCAGAAAGTCTTAAATTCATAAAGTGATGGCATTAATTGTTGCATGCACTGCAAAACAAAAAAAAAACAAAAAATCCTCCTCAGTATTTCTGTCTTGTTTTCCAGTACAAATATCTAAACAGCCTTAAATGAAAATGTGCTTACTTAAGAAGCAAAATGAAGTCTTGTTTTCTGAGAAATTAAACAAAATTAATTGCGTTTATGCCTAAAACAAAGAACAAATATCTCTCTCCTGAAGAGCAGTTTCTCTCCTTTTCTTTACTTATAATACCTTTACTAAGGGGTCAGTGAACAAAGGGAACGCAGGAAACCTGTAAATGACAGGAATGTTTTAATTAACACAAGCTCTTATGTAATATGTAAGTGACAAGTTAATTTTTGCATGACTAGGTGCAATCGGATCTCTATCCAGTTAGACTGGAAATCCATTCGAAAAAAAAAACTATACTATCCCTTTGTGAAATGCATGTTGATGTGTAAAGAGGGGCATTGATAAAAGATTATAAAAACAAACTTTTTTTTTTATGTGCATTGCACAATAAGACCAGGAACATTTTGATTAGCACTGATATATTGGTTACAATGTAGGTTTAATCCATAATTAGCTTTTTTTTTTTTTTTAATAGTGACGCATTGGTGGTACATTTTATTAAATTGCATTCAAACCATCACAGATGATCAATCATATCAGTTATTGATCATAAAATAAATATTTTCTGTCAGTATTAGCCAAACTGTCTCTGTATCATGAATCTGTAGTTTTAATGTTTCTCGGGCTGCATCATTGGCATTAGAGTTCTGGTGAGGTCGTGCAGAAGAAATGAATGGAAGGATGTTACAAAAGGTTCTTTATTAAAGTGCTTCATGCTGAGTAACGCATTACTGTAACCGATCTTTGCTACTGCCTCCAGAGCTCTGTGCGGGCAAGATACTGAATACTCTCTTGTGATATCGAGCGATGCACTTTTCAGTGCTGATTAGGACAAAAAACACCCAAAGACATTTTTCAAAAAGTGCTTCTCTAGTCGAGTTGCCCCAGCAGTCGTTTGCTTTCTCCATGTCACTTCCACTTTTAATAGCCATACTATTTTTAAATAGCAATGTCATTTCTTTTTGCCATATGTTAACTGAGATGATTAATTCAGTCTAGGAGTTTTTATTATGTTGCGATATAACAAGACTTTTTTTTTTTTTCTTCACTTTTTAGTTGATTTGGATTTGTGGCCTCATTTAGTTATCATACAGACAATCATAAAAGGTTAAATGAGCACTAAGAATTAAGTATATAGTATTAGTATTTTTTTTCTTAGTGTAAAGAACGTTTTGAAGAACCTTTTTCCACTATAAAGAACCTTTTGTGGAATGGAATTCCGTGGAGGTTCTTCATGAATTAGAATAAAGTATTAGCTGCTCATGATTGTATCTTTTTGTAGTGAGTGAACACTAATATTTGTCTAAAGTATTATTCATTCTTTTAGGGGGAAAAATGTAGTGGAAAAAGTTACTTAGTGGACTTTTAACATGAAATTATGAATGAGGAAAGAGATCTCAAAATCTTAAAATCACAAAAACTGACAAATTTAACAAAAGACTTTGTTTCTAGAAAGTGTCAGAATTTTGGGATGACATGGGTTGGACATAAGCCTTCCTAGCAGCCTAGAGAGCTTAAGGGGTTAAGACATTGTACCATAGACCACACAGCTGCCGCCAAATGACACGGAAACTCACACTTGTCCTGTTTCTGCATACACTCGTTTGTGTGCTGATGTGGCCCGGCCTGTGAGCATGTATGGCAGAGCACCTGTTGTATGAGTCAAGGCCTTATTTGTTCCTTTCCCAGAACCTGACACGAGTGCTAACAAGTAGCAGGTAGCTAGTATTATGAAAACAAGCGTTCCTAGCATGTCTGAATTTGTTTATGGGACAGCAAAGTCCCCCTGCCCCCAATTCCTGTGAGATTCCCACTTCCTGACACTCCTGACGTTTCCTGTGACCTTTACAGAAAATGAAAAACCATGTTTTTCTACAGTGTACATGACTCATGAAATGTATGCTAAATTATACGTCTTTTCCCCAGTGGCACATACAGAGGTTATTGTATAAGGATCCTGGGCAGGAAAACTCATACAGTTAATGTCATCCTAATGTTTCCTTCCGTTTCCTCTCTTTCCAGTTCGCACATTTCTTCCATCAGCATTCTTCCAGGATCTGCCGCGTAAGTGTCTACTTCTTTTTTTTTTTTTTTTAAACCGTTGTCATGGCAACAATATATGCATGTGTAAATAATTCATACCATTTTATTCTTAGAAGTCTCATCTAGAATTATATGGTTTGCACAGAGTCTTGTTTTTTCGCTGACATGAACAGCATACAAGGCCTTTTTTTAACCAATAAGTCCATTTGAAGTTAATTTCGCTCACGTTAATTTGGACCATATGCAATTATCCTCTGGTCTAAATCAGATTTGTTGACTCAGAGGGCCACAGTATGCAATAAACAGACCTTTTAGGTGGACAGAAGGCAAAATTTAGCTGAACAAATGTGATTATGGCCTTAAAAGCAGATAAGCAGGCCATGAGAGACCTTCTCGACTTTGTGACTTCAGTAAAATAGAATTGAAAGAGGAATTCCGTCAAAGTGCTATACGTTGATGACATTCCACTAACTGTGTTCATAATGAAAGAAACCCATCATCGCATAAACAGCAATGGAAAAAAATTCCATTCAGTAGCTTTTCGATACTGGCGAATGGCTTTTCAACTAAGCCTTGGCTATCAGAAGCATATTGTGGCAGCAGGAAGAATATCATCCCATTTTGAAATGGCCTCGGAGCAGAAAATGCATTAAAGTATCTAACCGAACAGCTTCAGGAAAAACTAGTGCATCTAGCCATGAAATTCTGCAGCATTAGCGAACAGAGAGCCGCAGCACTTAGGTGCACAGCACAAACAACACCATCCTCTAACAATGATTTATTGCTGGAATTTTGGCGCACGCAGTGACGGCGTGACTCATCGAGCCTTTTGGCCCAGATGGGCACACGGAGGTTGGTTAGGAAGGCATGCTAGGGGTCCATTGTTCCACATGACTTCAACATAGCCAGAGCTTCAGTGCAGGACACATTAGAGACTTGTGTTTTTTTGTGAGTGAATCGTCACTGGTTTCACGATTCGATTCGATTACGATTATCAAGTCAATGATTCGATATCACGATGCATCACGATTATACCATATTTATCCTGTGCATTTTTATTAAATTATATAAGTTAAATTATATAACTACTTTTTAAAATAATTACAATTTAATAATAAATTCTTAAGAACTTAACCAAATAAATGTAGCTTCAAAACATACAAGCAAATATAAAGTAATAAAGGGGGAAATGTGCCAATCAAAAAGTACTTAGCATGTTTTTTTTTCCTGCACTAGGCTTGGTTTTTCCAAAATGTGCCCAGATCTCGGATTTAATAATAGTGGGTGCATTTTTTAATACTTGCGTGACGTCGGTAGGCTATAATCAGTTATGGTCTATTATTGCATCGATGCAGAATCGTCCACGTCCATATCGCGATGCAACGATTAATTTCAACACCCCTATTGGGTGTCATAGTACTGAAGGTCTAGTAAGCTCAAAACAGTTCTATTTTCAGACACAAGAATCTGAGGTGCTCAGAATGGAGGGTTATTTGTTAGGATGTTGAGCTTGTGGTGAAAACTGCTTGGCTGACCTTGTTAAATAGGTCAAACTATGATAAATATGGGTACTGCGTGTTCTGTCTTCAACGGGAAGCTTTTTTTAAAGTTGTGTCAGACGCCTTGAATGTGTTTTTATTTGCAGTATAATCCAGAGGAGCATCCGTGCTGCAGTGGAACAGCACTTGTTGGACTTACAGACGTCTTTTGACAAGGAGCTCGGCAGCTATGAGAGTCAAGTGTTGGACTCCCAACTCCTTCAGGGGTGAGTGTGACAATACACACAGCACATACCAACACCAACCCTGGCATTTATTTGTATGAAGCTGAAGTTTGAACGTTTGCCGTAACATGTATAAACCTGAATCTATGTGTATTTTCCTGCACAGAAACTGCCCTATTCAGAAGTCAGCAGGGTCTGAGGAGCATGAAGATGTGCAGTCTGAATCTGAGGCTCTCCCAGAGGCTACAGAGGAGGGCCTGCCATCAGAGAATAGCGAGGTAAGCAAATAGGGGGCAATGTTGGGGAGTAACTAGTTACATGTAACAGCGTAACATAATTTAATTACAAGTAATGTAATTGTAATCCATAACCGTTTCTGAGAAAAAATGTGTAATTAAATTAGTAACTTAGGAAATGGTAACGATTACAAAGGGGTTACATCTGAATATTTTCACACACATACAGATTTAATTGATTTGTAAATTGCATTGACTGCTCTAAAATATGAGACACCAATGTTTAGGACACATGCTTATTCTATAACTGTTTTATTTCCTATTTGGGTTTATGTATATGCTTTTTTTTTTAAGATTAACTTTTTTCCAAGGCATTGTTAGATGCCAGAGTTTCCTGTCATTGCTATGCAAAGATTTGATTTCAAAAACAGTATCATTGCTATTAAACTATTTCTTGTTATGATTTTAAATCTGTATTTAACCTCAGAACGATCTTAAAGTAAGTCTGATTTTGTGGTGACTGTGCTTCAAAGGGGACATCGGATGCCCCTCTTGTTATGATTTTAAATGTGTTTAACCTCAGAAAAGAGGTGCTAAAGTCTGATTTTGTGGTGATTGTGCTTTAAAATGTAATTATAATCTCAATTCAAGTGATTTAAGGATTTTGAAAGTCTGACAGTAATCACTGTTGGGCACTACTGTAAGGTTAACCCTGCCTGCTTTAAATGTTTGAAAATGATTAACAGTTGAAAACATTCGTTAGAAATTTACAAAAGTAATCAAACAGTAATCAAATGTAATCAGTTACATTAATAAAGCAATTCAAATAGTTACACTACTTATTACATTTTAAATAGGGTAACTTGTAATCTGTAACCTATTACATTTCCAAAATAATCTTCCCAACACTGATAGGGTGTAAAGCTTGTCTGGATTTTTATTTATTTGATATGACAGAAATAAGAAAGCCAGAGGAACAGTGATTAGTCTAGTAATTCTCAACCTAGCTAAAGCTAAAAACAACTGAAAATAGATTTTTCAACCCCTCAGCTACTTCTTGTTTGCTTTGGAGAAGCTGAATTCACACAGCCTTGGAAAACCTGAATATATGTGACCCTGGAGCACAAAACCAGTCATAAGTCGCTGGGGTATATTTGTAGCAATAGCCAAAAAAACATTGTATGGGTCAAAATTATTGATTTTTCTTTTATGCCAAAAATCATTAGGATATTAAGTAAAGATCATGTTCCATGAAAATATTTTGTAAATTTCTTACTGTAAATATATCGAAACTTAATTTTTGATTAGTAATATGCATTGCTAAGAACTTAATTTGGACAAATTTAAAGACGATTTTCTCAATATTTAGATTTTTTCGCACCCTCAGATTCCAGATTTTCAAATAGTTGTATTTGTACTTTCAAATAGTTGTTAGTCCAAATATTGTCCTATCCTGACAAACCATACATCAGTGGAAAGCTTATTTATTCAGCTTTCAGATGATGTATAAATCTCAGTTTCAAAAAATTGACCCTTATGACTGGTTTTGTGGTCCAGGGTCACAAAAGGGTGATTAAAAATTATGCAAATTAATAATATCTAAAAAAGCCATGGCCATTCTTATGAATACACATATTTACTAGCTATGCTAAGCTCTGAAAACATTTATTGGACAGAAATTGCAAGTAAGAACATTTTTTTTTTATTTATCCTTAGTCCTTATCCTGTAAAACACAAACAACTAGAAGAGTCATGTAGATTCATTGGTTACAAAAAGAGCGTGGCTCCCATTCAGCTCTAAACATTTCTGGAATTCTGAATTTTACTTATTGTTATTCAAATTATTTTAGAACGCACATAGATTAAAATACACTTTAAAAACAAAACTAGGGCATCCTTTGAATATTGTTGTGGACAGTGGGGGGCCTTCGAGTCGAAAAGGTTGAAAATCGCTGCATTAGATAATTTCTGTAGTCTACAACTATCCTTGAAAATGTTTAGTCTTTCTGCTATCAGCAAGGTCTGTAATACCTCCTCCTCAGCAGAATGAGAAACAAGGGCCTTCCTGTCAGATAAACAGACCATCATCTGTTCTCAGCAGGCGCAAGCAATCTTCTCCCGTTTAACACCGTGCTGGAGCGAACGAAACATTTCAGATAAAGCACTTTCCTCAAGTAGCTAATTAAGTAACGACATGAGGCTGGTTCAGAAGAAGAGCTGATGATAAAGGTGACTGTGAGGTGTAATAAAGTGACGAGTGTGTCTGGGGTCTCTCTGGGAGGCTTCTCTTCCCTCCACACGCACGTGCCAAAAGATCTTGTGGCCTGGCCACAGGTTAGGAACATATGAACTGGGTCACCTTCTTTTATTAGCCATCCCTGAGGAATGACAGCGCCACCTGGTCAACGCAAACACTCCCCCCCTCAGAGAGCCACCCCGTTCCTCAATGTTATCAGCTGCCGACCTTGAGACACAGTCATCAGTAAACACACACAAGGCCTTGATAGGTTTGAGTGTTCTGATGGCTTCGAGAACATTTGGCATTGTGCATTATCTCCAGTGTAATCTTTTTCACTTGTAAACCCGTCAGTACAATCACTGGTAATTACTCTCCTTTTCCTCACAGGAATCTCAAGGCTCTCAGCTCAGCAGCCCTGTCACGGAAGAAAATTCTGGGATGGACCTTGACACGGAGACTCTCATAGACGCTGAGAATCTCAGCACAGAAAGGTTCGATTGGAAGCATTGAGATGCGCTCACAATTAGAGTTTGCACATTTTTGGGAGGAGAAATCCTCTCATTTCATTCGGAATCCATGCATCTGGAATTGTGCCATTCATAATTTCCTATGCAGATTTCTCTGAAAATCATCTTTAGGCCTACGTGAATGCAAATGCTTCTAGCTACTTTCAATATCATGTTGTTGCATTCAAGAATGTGCCACAAGTATGGGCCAAAATTATTATCTTTTATAGTCGGTTTTCAGGCTAACTGGTGTAGTAAATACAATAGCACGCACTGCTCAGTCTGACATGCCTGAATAATATTTTTAGTGGCATGGGCATTTAAGTGGCACAGATATTTTGCCCCCTTGATCGCAGGCACGCAAGAACGAGCGTGTATAGTGACACATCACGCTTGAATGCACTGGCCAGGCATTCGCATCTGCGTTTGTGTGCTCACGTGGAGTATATTTCTGGACTTCGCCTGTGTCTTTCACCATTAGTGAAAGAAAATACTTTTCTAATGAAAAGGCTGATTTTAAAAGCCTCCAAGAATAACGTTTTACGAGGAACATACAAAATTGTTCTGTTCTTTTAATGGAAAATAATAATAGAAATGTCTAGTTAAAAATAGCTTTGAAATGTCAAATTGTGTTCTTGTAAAACTTTTGTAAGCCTGATACACCTTACATCTGATAAGCGAGTGTCCTAGATTCCAGAGTCACAGTCTGTTAGCCTGTATAGGATGTGTGGGTGTGACTAGTAAAGTTTCGATACACTTTAAGCTGGCCATAGTTTGCCATCCTTCCTGAATTGTCTGAGCTTATTTTACGCCCTTATTAATAGATTTAATATGACTAGGTTTTTTTTCCCAAGCAAGACATTTAAAGAGCTCTATAATTGACATGTGTGAAGGGAACAGATCACACAGTTGTCATCACCTCACTGTAGAGTTCATAGTAATTTGTTTCTAACTTCACACAGACTGGAGAACTACCCAGACTATGAGCAGATGGACCAGGCTGATGAGTGTATTTGTGTGAGTATATTTGTAAAGCACCAGGATTCTGTCTGTTTTTCTACACTGCAAGACTGAAGCATCTAATCAAAGCCCTTCAATGACTCGCAGGAGCCCGGAGACTGTGACCTGAATGCTAATACTGAGTCCACAGAGCCAGCCAGCGGCCCTCAGTCTTTGACCAGGAGCATTTTCTCAGACAGTGAACAAGAAGGTAACTATTTCTGTTATTTCTCTATAAAAGATGATAAGTCACACTGTATGAACTGCTAATGTTTCCTTTGAGCAAAAAATTGGTCCCTATGCAAAAAATGTTTACTGCCCTTTGAAACTCAAAAGAGATACATTTTAATAGACTACAGAGCTAAAGTAGGCAAAGTAAACCATTATTATTCATAAACCACCAACATACACAGTTCTGTTTTCTCATGTATATATAGATGTATGTAAATCATAAATATGGTTCATGTGGTCTGAGTGAATGCTAGTTATGACTCATTTGTATTTCAGTCATAGATCCACAGCATTACGTG